CACAGAACCGTGCTTCACTGAAAGATACGCATGACAATCGCAGCTTCTGTCGAATCGCGATCTCGATTCCATTTCGATTTATCGTGCAGCCCTACCTGCATACTTACAAAATCAAAAGTAAATCAATATATTCTTCATCAAATTCAGCACAAATAGTACAAGAACTCACGCACAGCGCTTGTCATGTTTATGTGGCATTACTATCAGTACCAACAGCCTTTTTTCCCACGATCCCTTTGTTTTGTCTGCCAAAGCCTGTTAGTGTGGTCTGTTTGATCTGGAGCTGACCCGACCAAGGGTTTAGCCAGATCTCACATTAGTGCCATTAGACATGTGACTACTAGAGCTGGCCTGCAAAGCTTTATGCCAGTGACTCTTGAGCAGCCTACCCACCTTTTTTCCGATTAAGTCTATTGCATTTTAAATTATGGGTGGAATTTACAGTTTGGAAGGAGTCCTGAAACAAAACATTTCAAATAATAAGGCTGCTAATCCTTATCTGTCAGTTTGACTGACTAAGCCGTACATTTTCTGAATACTCCATTTTTATCCATCAGGAAAATAATGTAACTTGATATTTTAATGCAACATTGTTATTACAAGAATATCTGTGACAAGAGCTCTTTTCAGTCCGATGTGTCATGTTCTTCTGATAATTTTATTTTTCTTTTCAAATGTAACAATATGGAGAAGACAACAGATACTGCACTCTTGTGGTCTATTCTCCTGATTTAATGGACATGTTCCAAACTTGAAAGTTTCACTTAAATGCACTAGGAAAACACTTTTTTTTTTCTTCACAAGCCCTCACTCACACCTCTTTCCTGTTTTTTTTTTCTAATCCCTATTAGCAGTGTTTACTGGAATGTTTCTAAAACAGTGAAATACAATTTGATGTATATCAGAATGGTGGAAAGCTCTTTGAAACATCCATCAATGTTTTTGAAAATGACGTAACATTTTTTCATTCACACAGTATACAAGTATATTACATGATATAGACCTATTACTACAGTTATATTGCTGTGGAAAGACTTGTTTGAACTTTTGGGGTTATTCATGGTCTGCAGAAAATTATTTGTCAATGGTTTCACATGTTTAAGGTTCCTTTTGATGATTGATAGTTGAAGGGTGTGGAGACTGTCATCTAGTTTTCGCACACCGGACCTTTAAACAAGTTCACTGGCAGTATCTGAATGGTCACAGTTTAACAGAAGTTACTCCCATAATTCACACAAAGCATTAGGTGTGTAAGGAAAAAGCATAAGGAAAAAGGAGGTTATGCTGCATGTAGGCACATTTAAGCATCACAAAGAAATATGAACTACAATTCATGACAGAAACGCCTTTATGTCCTGCATTAACAGTTACATAAAGACTCCTATTTCTGAGCAGAGCATATTGTTTTCAGAGTTCAGATTCAGAGTCACGTTCTGTCATGACATATGACATTTAACATGCTATGTGATATTTAACATCCTGTCTAACGTTACTTCAGCATACACAACTTCCTCATGTAATCACAGATCCCTCCCTGAGAAATAGTAAACTAAAAGAAAACAGGTAACGTAAAATCTCGGTATTATGATCGAGTTCAGCAGGTGCATAACTATAAAAATCACACACCATTAGAGGCACTAAACAGGTTAAAATTTGAGATAGTTTAAAAAAAAAATTTCTCTCACATGAATCACATCACACGTTCAGACTTTATATATATATATATATATATATATATATATATATATATACGCGTTAAAGTTTAACTTTCTCGAGATGTACTAAACATTCTCTGAAACATCAAAGCTGCATTACAACACTAACGTAAGTCCGCGAAAAAAAAGTTAATCTCAACAAACTTTCTCAACAAATCTTCTATTTAGCTACAGTGCGCTGAAGTAAAACCTGTACATTTCTATTAAAACCTCGCACATTTCTTCAGGTTTCAGTACAGAAAAAAAAGAAACTATATACTTTTATATGAAAACGACATTTCTTTCTTCAGTTTTGTTCCATAGGGATTCAGGAACAATACGCCTCTCTTCCGAACCAAATCCTGTGAGGAATGCCTGAGCTATCTTTCTAAACTTTTCGTCATAGAAAATGTTTGTAAAACTTACTAGTTTCATTCAAAACTGCGTCCGTACAAAGTTGTGGGTGAAACCCTTGATAACGGGACCGTTAGCTTCAGTCACTGGTATCCTCGCGAGCTCCGGACTCTCCTCGACCTCAGCACATAAATTACGGCGCGCGGGCAGTTCATAGCGCTCTGTGAGAATGCAGAGACGGGCTGGGGGAAGGGCGGCGCTATTACCTGCAGCCCCTGCCCTGCCCCCAGACACACACAGAATGGGGGCGGGGGAACTACTGAGCAGTGCCCACCCTTGAAAAGAGATTAATTTATCCCATCAAATCTGTAGTTTTAGAGCTTTTACTTCATGCCTTTTATCTTTAAGGGTACATGCTAGTGTACACTTAAAATCACATTTAGAATATACTCCTAATAAAACACAAATGATGCACTATAACTTTTTGTCCAATCAAATGAGCTTCATAAGAATTTTCCTCCCACTCAGTGTTGGGATAACGCATTACAAGTAACATAAATGACTTAATCAGATTACATTTTTTTCAAGTAACTAGTAATGTAATGGATTAATTTTACATTTTTTTATAAAATGGGCTATCTGAGTTACTTCTTCAAATAAGTAAAACCAGTTACTTTGTTTCCCATGTATTGACTGACAGCTCTCCTGTCCCCAGGAGTAAGAGCAGAAGTGTTGTGTGCACCGTGTGAACGTGATGTTACTGCAGTTCTAGACTAAATGTGAACATGCATTTAATCATCTCACTTGCACAAAAACAGGTTCACTATTCCTCAAAATCAATAAAAACAGTGAAATGCAAAATTAGAATATGATGCAAACCTGCAATTATTGAATATGTTAAATAACACAAATATCCTTTATGTATTTAATCCCATAACCAACGACTTTGCTGCTGACCTTTGATGATCCAATTCAACCATACTAATGTCTTCAGATAAACAAGAGTGTTGAACTTTCTTCTCCTGCGTTATACAGTTTAATTTACATTTCCTTCAGCCTCAGTCTTATTCATTTCACTTTTGTTGTGAAAGGGCTTTTATATTTGCAAAAAAAAAAGATTTTTTTTTTAACAAACAAGCAAGCCCTGCCCAGATTTTAATGCAAAAGTAATGTAATGCATTACTTTTCATAAAAAGTAACTATTAGTTACTTTTTTAGGAAGTAACGCAATATTGTAATGCATTACTTTTAAAGGTGGCATAGAATGGAAAACTGTATTTACCTTGGCATAGTTGAATAATAACAGTTCTGTACATGGAAATGACCTACCGTGAGCCTCAAACACCATTGTTTCTTCCTTATGTAAATATCGTGCATGCAAAAGACCACTGAAAAATAGGCGAATCAGAACATAACACCGACTGTGACGTTACAGTTGGAATCACTAATAGTTACGCCCCCAACATTTCCATATACCTGCCCATGTTCTATACCAGCCGCCAGCCGAACCTGCACAGCCGAATCATCAGAAGTTCTGCAGGTATTGTGAAGAAACAAGCGAGAATAGCGAAAATGGCAGATCATGGAAATAAACGTTATGTTCCAGGCTGTGCAGGGGATGTCATGTGCAGGGATGGGTTGGTGTCTGTATTCAGAAAGTCACGGAAAACAAATAATGCGTTCTAATAAAATAACACGAGCCACTAAAGGGACATGTTAACTGCTTGCTTGCTAGCGGTAGCCTGTTACATTATAGTACATAATACATTATACTATAAACATTATAGTTCTCTGCCTGTCTTTAAGTCCCTGCTAAAAACTTATCTGTTTTCCTTAGTGTATTGATTACTGTTATTCGGTAATTTTTTTAATGGGTTGTTCATATTTTTTATTTGGCTTGCTTTCTTTGTATGTTTTTATAAATTTCTCTTCTGTAAAGCACTTTGGTCAGCCTAGCGGCTGCTGTAAATGTGCTATACAAATAAAATGAACTTGAACTTACATAAGATTTCACTTGCCACATAAACAGAGTAAGGAGAGATGACTGAGGATGATGGCGAATGATTTACAGATCCTGAGCACCACTGACAAGCATCTGATCTTGTAAAATGTGTGGTAAGTACTGCTGCTGTAGTTTACACAGATCACGTGCGATCGCAAATCTTGAAAGTGAAAGTAAAAAGCCATCGTGCATTCGAAAGCAGGTTCAATGCCCCGCATATTAATAGCGGCTCCCTGATGCCCACATTTTATATACAGTATAATTACCCAAAGATATAACTGCGAGAGACAGTATTGAAATATATATTTCCTTCCTGCTGTGTGAGCTACTGAAATGAGCCGCACTGTGAAACAGCCAATCAGAGCAGAGCTCAACATTATTATTCATGACCCTTCCAAATAAGGTAAAAACAGACCATTTCATTGTAGTGACAAATCCTAGGGTTGTAAATGGACATGTAAAACCGTTTCTGGAGATTTTTTGCCCTTAACTAAGCCACATACCTTTTATGTAGATATCAGAGAACAATTTAAAATATTGTATCAATGCATTCTATGGCACCTTTAAAAGTAACTTTCCTCAACTGCTTCCATTAATATAAATCATGAGCAGCGTCCAAAATCTCATACTTGACGTACTGAAGGTTTATGAATTATGCTGGTGTAGAGTATAAAGGGCCACCACACCAAAAACGATAGCTATAATGATAATCAGCGCCAAAGCATAATAACGTTCTGTTTATTAGACACCCGCAACAGTTCTGTCGTCTGCCACTTTAAATGCTCAAGCGCTTTAAAATCTGGTGGATTCTGATTGGCTGTCAATGTTTTTATCATTCCTCATGTTCCTCCTTCTCCTTATCGTTATAGTTGTGGTGTAAACTTCCCTATTCTCATAGAATTAGAACAATTATTAAAACTTTACAGTTTGATTGTAGTTATCTTTAAACTTATCGTATATGTGATATATGTGATTTAGCTGTCAAAAATCACTACATAGATATCAATATAGTATAATGCGTTTATCTCTATGATTCCTAGATAACATGACTTTGGTATTTAATGTGAGCCAGTCTTCTTAAACTTTACCAAGTGTCACTTTAACAGTTTTAAGTTAAAGTGACACTAATAAAAAGACAAAGTTATTTGAGAATAAAATAAGCATTTACACAACTTACTGAGAATGCAGACAAAGGAAGCTCTACTCTTGGGGGGGAGGGGGGATTTTATTCTTCAGAGCCTAAAGACAGGCACCAAGCACCAAACATCTTTCAAAACAGCAATTTTACAATCCCCAAACAGTTAACTGAATGACTGCTGATTGAATGAAAATAACATGGTGTGGGGAGAGTTACTTCCTCCACCCAGAGATAATTAACAGGGCCATAAGAACGGTTTAACCTGGAGAGCAGCCAGCAACTCCCATCAAGACTCATAATTAAAAACATATGACGAGTGGGAAGTGTCACAGATTGAGAAACTACTTATTACACATTAAATGTATTCACAACTGCTTAAAGGGATAGTTCACCCAAACATTCTGTCATAATTTACTCACCTTCATGTACAACATTTTCTGTGCACATAAAATATGATATTTTGAGAAATATCTCAGTGTTTTCCTCCATCCAATGGAAGTCAAAGGTCACCAAAACTGTTTGATTACCAACATTCTTCAAAACATCAACTTTTTTGTTCAACAGAAGAAAGAAAGTCATGCAGGTTTGAAACATGAGGGAAGAAAAATAATCATTTTTGGGTAAACTGTCCCTTTCTCATCAAGTTAATGCTAACCAAGTTATGCTGTAAAATATAATCAAGATTTAAATGTATATCAGTCATCATCATGACATGACCAATTGTGGTCAAAACCAAAACTGTATGTACTGCACACCCAAATGTTCCATTAGCCTATCAGAGTATGCAGTGCTTTTTTCACAGAGAGCCAGTCTAAACTGATATAGTTGGTTTTCAGCGACCACACAAAGGAAGGAAGGGAAGGGAGGGCCAGTCCACACAGAACTTACATTGGCAGATGTTAAAGGCTTTTCCTTCTGAAAAACAGACTGATGTGGTGACTGTAATGAACTTTTAAGTATGAAAAAGATTTGACCACACCAAAGCATGCAAATCAGAGGCCCATAAACCATGATGAAGGCAATTCCTGACATGCATGCATAGTATTTAGTATACATTTTGTCTCAATCAATTTCACTAATCCTCTCACAACCTTGCCAGGGCACGTTGGAGAAAGTGGAATAACAGGATAGTGCCAAACATACAAATGGCATTTTGTGTTGTCAGTGATTTTTGAGATGCTTGTGCTGAATAAACCAAACAGGTTCCACACCATTCCATTACCAAAAAAAAAAAAAAGAAAAGAAAAAGAAAGAAAAAGAAATGAGGTTACTGCACACATGATCACTGCATAGAAATGGAAATTAAACTGTAAAATACAATTTAAAAAAAATGTACAGCTTCCAGTCTGCACAGAAATAAACAAACCCTGAGAGAATCAAACACAAACCACACAAAAAAAAAACACATTATGACTATGAGAGAAAACAGAAGATGGAGAAAATCCAACAATCCAACATAATCACTGGCAATATTTCACAGAAAATAACCTCCCCCAAAAATTATAATACTAAATGAAAAAGAAAAAAACAACAATATTTTAGTAGTGTCAATTTAAAGAAGGAAAAGCAATATAGTTTCCCACAATGGGCTATTCATTGAAAAGACAAAAGCTTGTGTTCAAAAACAAAAGGTTTCATTCACAATGCTTGCACTCCTAGTTCCGCACCACTAGCTTCCTCCCCCTGTCCCAAAGGCAAGACCAATTGTTCTCCTAGCTTCACAACTGCACTCATTAATGATGACTGTCCCCCCATTATTGTCCCAGAAGAAGCATTTGTGTTAGGTTAGGGAATAATAGCAGACAAGACTCAAAATCATTTGGTTACTCATACTATTTCCAACTCGCACAACTAATTAACTTTTCTATCAGTAATGTTTTTGTTTTGTGTATGAATTTAATTTCTGATATCCAAAACCCTGAAATGGTCATATTGTGCAACAAATCATTATATATAATAAGATAACTATAGATCACACCATATTACATGCATTATATCAATCTAGCCTGTCTAAAATAAGCCAACATCTCCACAGCATAGCATCTCCACTGACAAATGGTGACAAGGCT